TTTTTTCATCTCTCTCTGTACCCATTCTTTTTCATCTCTGTATAACCAGTGTCTTCCACACACTGCCTGGAATTTGCTGAGCACTTTCTAATAATTTTTGCAGATAGAGCAAATATTGATAATTACCACCTCTCAGAAAGAAAAGAAAAATTTAAAGGTGAAAAATTTAAAATTTTTAACAGATAAAATTGAAGGGGGCAAAAGGGCATATGTATTTTCTTTTCCTTCTACAATATAGGCAGCATCTTGGATTTTATGTTCCAGGGAAAATGATGTTTTTTCATGACAAAGTTGAGTCAGCACTGCCGTAGGACATCAAGTTAGTTATGACAAGAAGAATGCAAGTGCCTAAATATTGACCACAGTGTGTTAATTACTATATTTAATCCATTTTAAGAACTCCATCTTTTTAACATCTCTGAAATTGGTATGTATCTTAGACTTAAAATTGGCCATGTTTTTTTTCTTGCTTAAAGGTATATAAAATAATGGGATATATTAAACTCAATGAAATATAATACTGACTTTAGGCTAGCAATAATGCACCTTGATATGCTCCAAGGTCAGGTGCAGAGTACTTATTAGAAGCCGATCTTTGTATTCTTACTACTATTTAGGTCAAAGAGTTATGCAACACGTGGAAGGCAAAAGACTGAAGAAGTTTCCTGTAGTTTTACTCCTATAGGACTCAACTGCAACAGTTCTTTTCTATCTACATAGTTTTTACTTTTTAAACAGAGGAACATACAGAGAAGTGGTGATATTCCACTTTTTGTTTGTTCGTTTTTTGGACATGGATTATATGTCCAGGTTTTCGGAGAGTCCCACAGATTTTCGTGGATGAGGAAGGGAGCTCACCTCTCTTCAGCAGTAGAATGACTTCAAACTGGTAGTCATGTACAGTGATCATTAACACCTGAAACAGTGTTACATTATCTGAAGGTTGTCTATCCAGGAGAGCACCTAGTTCTCATTATAATGGGGAAAGCTGTTTACCACGTCATCTCAGAACTGCATGGTGCAGTTAAGTCAAACCAATACACTTTCTAATACAGATGTGCCTATTGACCTAGATTTTAAAAGTCAGAAAGACAAATATTTCAAAACTTTTCTTGTAACTAGCTTCTAATGTATATGGAAGTACACAGACCCTACAGTTCACTGAATGATAGGCAAACACAGGTCACCTAAACCTGAGGATTCGCTCTGGGAAGAGATGTGCTCTAGGTCCTCTTCTCTCTCTTCTCAGTGTGTGATGGAACTCTTTAAACACCAAGGCTCCTACACACAGAGACCATGACTGTCTGTTGCACAGAACCCCGAAGCTGCAGCCCTCAAACAGAAGTTAAAATTACACTGGTACCTTCTGAACTGCAAAGGGATCTCTCTGTTCATGGTCTAAGTATTTCTCCAGGTTAAAGAAAGTGTCATAGAAGATGTGAGCCATCCTGCATCTCTTCAGGTCTCGCAGAGTTATTCTGCCTGTGAAAGAACAAAGCTGGTAAATTTCAAGAGCTGTTTTGGCAAGTGGAAAACTTCTACTCAAGTTTAAAAGTATATGCATATGCTTATTTTATTATAAAAATCCCATTTCTTTTTTTTGAGGTAAAATTCACATAACATAAAATCCACCATTTTAACCATTTTAAAGGGTATTAATTTATTGGCTTTTAGTACATTCACAGTGTTGCATAACCATCACCACTATCGTGTCCCATAGCATTTTTCTTCGCCCCAAAAGGAAACTGTACCCATCAGGCAGTCCCACTCCATCTCCCCTTCCCTCTCCAACCCTTAGCCCCTGGCAATCACTAGTTTCCTTTCTGATTCTATTGGAAAAAGCCTATTTCTTTTTTTTAATTCTTATTTTTTATTGAAGTGTAGTTAGTTTACAATGTTGGTTTCAGGTGTACAGCAAAGCAATTCAGTTATACATATGCATACATATAGATGTATTTTTCAGATTCTTTTCTATTATAGCTCATTGCAAGAAATTGAATATAGTTCCCTCTGCTACACAGTAGGTCCCTGTTGTTTATCTATTTAATATATAGTGATGTGTATCTGTTAATCCCAAATTCCTAATTTATCCTTCCCCCCATTCCCCACCCTGATAACTATAGTTTGTTTTCTATGTCTGTGAATCTATTTCTGGTTTGTAAATAAAATTTGTATCCTTTTTTATAGATTCCACATATAAGTGACAGTGTATGATATTTGTCTCTCTCTGTCTGACTTACTTTACTTAATATGATAATCTCTAGGTTCATTCATGTTGCTGCAAATGGCATTATTTCATTCTTCTTTATGGCTGAGTGATATTCCATTACACACACACACACACACACACCCCCACATCTTCTTTATCCATTCATCTGTCGATGAGCATATAGGTTGTTTCCATGTCTTGGCTATTGTAAATAGTGCTGCTGTGAACACTGGGGTGCGTGTGTCTTTTTGAATTATAGTTTTCTTCAGATATATGCCCTGGAGTAGGATTGTTGGATCATATGATAAGTCTATATTTATTTTTTTAAGGAACCTTCATACTGTCCTCCATAGTGGCTGCACCAATTAAATTCCCATCAACAATGTAGGAGGGTTCCTTTTTCTCCACACTCTCTCCAGCATTTATTATTTGTAGACTTTTTAATGATGGCCATTCTGACTGGTGCAAAGTGATACCTCATTGTAGTTTTGATGTGCATTTCCCTAATAATTAGCAATACTGGGATCTTTTCAAGTGCCTGTTGGCCACCTAGATGTCTTCTTTGGAGAAATGTCTATTTAGGTCTTCTGCCCAATTTTTTTATTGGGCTGCTTGTTTTTTATGTTATTGATTTGTATGAGCTGTCTGTGTATTCTGGAAATTAGTCGCTTGTTGGTTGCAGGAAAAAGCCTATTTCTTAAACAGAATTTGCCATTGACTGTTGGTTCTACACTAACAGTAAAGCAGAAACTTAAATACTCCTGTTTTTGGAAAGCCTGTATGGAAGACTCTGGGAAGTTAAATAATTTAGGAAAATCCAGGTTACATCCCCAACTCTTACATAGGTGAGTAGTGCAAATAGCTCTTTATTCAATCTTACCATCGCTGGCCGGCTTCACCAGGTCAAGCATCTGGCACAGCAAATCATGGAATGGCAAGGGCTCAATGCCCATGGCTTCCATCCGTTCACACTGCTCCTCGTAGAAGTATTCCAGCTCATACATGGAGAGTACACCATCCCCATCCAAGTCCATGCAGCGGAACCAATACTCAATGCTAGGAGATACAGACACTCATTAGCAATGGCCTGTTAAAGGTCCTTTACTCACCTAGACTTATTATTGTCTATGTTTCTTTTCAAATGAAAGTTATGTATGTGTATACTTTAGACTCAGAAACAGTTTTACAAAATTTGTTAGAAAAAAATGGCAGACCTCCTCTTTATTTTCCCTTCTTCTGAACAGACCAATTGCTAATAAGGAGATTGAAACAGTTATGAAAAATTTCCCAACAAACAAAAGTTGAGGATCAGACAGATTTACTCGTGAGTTCTAAATATCTAAAAAGAATAAACAATGGCCCTTCTTGAACTCTCCTAAAAAACAGAAGAGGAAAGAAAATCCTAACTCATTTAATGAGGCCAGCATTACCCTTGATAACAAAACCAGACAAGGATACCACAAGAAAAGAAAATTACAGATCAATATTCCTGATGAATATATATGCAAGAATTCTCAACAAAATATTAGCAAACTGAATTAAACAATGCAGTAAAAGGATTATACCAAGATCAGGTAGGATTTATTCCAGGAATGCAAGAATGGTTCAACATCTGCAAATCAATCAATGTGATACACCACATTAACACAAGGAAAGGTGAAAACACATAATCACCTAAATAGACGTAGAAAAAACACTTTACAAAATTCAACATCTCTTTATTATAAAAACTCTCAACAAAGTGGGTACAGAGGGAACATACCTCAACATAATAAGGGTCATATATGACAAGCCCATAGCTAACATTATACTCAATGGTGAAAAGCTGAAAGCTTTTCCTCTAAGATAAGGAACAAGAAAAAGGTACCTAATCTTGCTGTTTTTAGTCAATGTAGTACTGGAAGTCCTAGCCAGAGCAATTATGCAAGGAAAATAAATAAAAGCCATCCAAATTTTAAATGAAGAAGTAAAACTGTCACTCTTTGCAGATTATATATTATATATAGAAAATCCTAAAGATTCCACCAAAACACTGTTAGAGTAATTGAACTCAGTAAAATTGCAGGATACAAAATCAATATACAAAAATCATTGCATTTCTATACACTAACAATAAACTAGCAGAAAGATGAAGAATCCTGTTTACAATTGCATCAATAATAAAATAAAATATCTTGGAGTAAATTTAAACAAAAAGGTGAAAGATCTGTGCAGTGAAAAGAACAGGACACTAGTGGATGAAACTGAAGATACACACAAATTGAAAGATATTCCATTTCCATGGACTAGAAGAATTAACGTTGTTAAAGTGTTCGTACTACCCAAAGCTACCTACAGATTAAATGCAATTCCTACCAAAATTCCAATGGCATTTTTCACATAAATAGAACAAACAACCCTAAAATTTGTATGGAACCACAAAAGATCCCAAATAGCCAAAGCAATCTTGAGCAAGAAGAACAAAGGTGGAGCATCACACTACTTCATTTAAAAATATACTACGAAGCTATAGTAATCAAAACAGTATGGTGGTCATAAAAATAGACACATAGATCAATGGAACAGAGTAGGGCCCAGAAATAAACCCACATATATAGTTAACAAAAGAGCTAAGAATATACAGTAGGGGTAAGGATAATCTCTTTAATAAATGATGTCGGGAAAACTGGACCACCATCTTACACAATATACAAAAGTTAACTCAAAATGGATTAAAGACTTGAATGTAAGACTTGCAACTGTAAAACTTCTAGCTTTGAGGCAAAGAGCTCCTCGACGCTGGCAATGATTCTTTTTGATCTGACACCAAAAAGCAAACCAAAAAAGTAAAAAATAAACAAGTGAGATTATATCAAACTAAAAAGCTTCTGCACAGCAAAGAAAACCACCAACAAAATAAAAAGGCAACCTACTGAATAAGAGAACATATTTGCAAATTATATCAAATTATATATCTGATAAGGGGTTAATATCCAAAATATATAAAAAACTCATATAACTCAACAGCAAAAAACCAAACAACCTAATTTTAAAATGGCAGAGGAGCTGAATAGACATTTTTTTCCAAGAGACAGAAATTTACAAATGGCCATTAGTATATCTTTTTTAAGAAATGTCTATTTAGGCCCTTTGTCTATTTTTTAATTGAGCTGCTTTCCTGCTATTGAATTGAGTTCCTTATGTATTTTCAATATTAACTCCTTACCATATGTATCGTATACATGTACTTTCTCTGATTCCATAGGTTCTCTCTTCATTCTGTTGACTGTTTCCTACTAGAAGCTTTCTAGTTTTATTCAATCCTATTTGTCTATTTTTGCTTTTGTGCTTGTGCTTTTGGGTCATATCCCTCCAAATCAAATTTCACAGACCAATGTCAGTAAGTTTGTTCCCTATGTTTTCTTCTAGTAGTTTTATAGTTTCAGGTCTTATACTTTAGTCTTTAATCCATTTTGAGTTGACTTTTTATAGTTGAGATAAGGGTCCAATTTAATTCTTTTGTATATAGATAGCCAGTTTTCCCAACACCCTTCATTGAAGAGACTGTCCTTTCCTCATGTGTGTTCTTGGTATCTCTGTTGAAGATCAATTGACCATAAATGCACAGATTTATTTCTGGGTTTTCTATTCTGTTCCATTAATATATATGTCTGTTTTATGCCAATACCATGCTGTTTTGATTATTATAGTTTTATTGAATATTTTAAAATCAGGTAGTGTGATACCTCCAGCTTTATTTTTGTTCCTCAAGATTTTTTTGGTTGTTTTGTACTTCTGTATGAATTTTAGGGTTGTTCTTATTTTTTTTTTGTGAAAATGTCATTGGAATTTTGATAGGTATTGCATTGAATCTGTAGATCACTTTGAGTAGTATGCATATTTTAACAATATCCATTCTTCCAACTCATGAAGATAGGATATCTTTCTATTTTTTGCACCCTCTTCAAATTCTTTCATCAAGATTTCATACATTTCAGTATACAGATCTTTAACCTCCCAGGTTAAATATATCCTGTGTGTTTTATTTTATTTGATGTTATTGTACATGGGATCATTTTCTTAATTTCCTTTTCAGATACTTTGTTGTTAGTGTATAGAAATGCAAATAATTTTTGTAGTTTTATTTTGTATTCTGCAACTTTACTGAATTCATTTATTAGTTCTAACAGTTTTTTTTGGTAGTCTTTAAAGGTTTTCTACATATGATATTATGTCATCTGCAAAGAAAGAAAATTTTACTTCTTCCTTACTGATTTGGATATCTTTTCTTTTGCTTGCCTAATTAGTCCTGCTAGTTGAATAAAGGTGGCAAGAATGGGTATATTTGTCTTGTTCCTGATCTCAGAGGAAAAGCTTTCATCTAAAAAGATGAGTATGATGCCAGCTGTCATACACAGTCTTTATCATGTTGAGGTACATTCCTGATACACCTAACTTGAGAATTTTTTTTTATCTCTAAAGGGTGTTGAATTTTGTCAAATGCTTTCCTATATTTATTGAATTGATTATTTTTATCCTTCATTCTTTTAATATGGTATATGACATTTACTGCTTTGTATGTCAAAATATCCTTGCATCCTAGGCACAAACCCCACTTGATGGTGGTGCATAATCATTTAAATAAGTTGCTGAATTCAGTTTGCTGGTATTTTGTTGAGGATTTCTTTATCTACGTTTATCAGGGACATTGGCCTGCAATTTTCTTATAGTGTCCTTATCTGGTATGAGGGTAACACTGGTCTCATAAAATGAATTTGGGAATATTCCCTCCTCTTCAGTTTTTTGGAAGAGCTGGAGAATAATTTGCATTCATTCCTCCTTTGCTGGTGGAATTCAACTGTGAAGTCATTAGGTCTTGGGCTTTTCCTTTTGGGGAGGTTAATTACTGATTCTATCTCCTTACTTGTTATTTGTTCAGATTTTCTATTCAGTCTTGGTAGGCTGTATGTTTCTAGGAATTTATCCATTCCTTCTAGGTTATCCAATTTGTTGACACATTAATGTTCACAGTAGTCTCATATGATCTTTTGTGTTTCTGTTGTAATATCTCCTCTTTCACTTATAATTTTATTTGAGCCTTCTTTTTCTTAGTCTAGCTAAAGGTTTGTTAATTTTGCTCACCTTGTCAAAAAACCAAAGATTCATTGATCTTTCCTAGTCTCTATGTCATTTACTTCTGGTCTGAACTTTTATCATTTCTTTCTTTCTGCTAACTTCAGGTTCAGTCTGTTCTTTTTTAGTTTTTTTTAGGTATAAAGTTGTTTATTTGTGATCTTTCTATTTTTCTTATGTAGGCATTTGTTGCTATAAATTTCCCTCTTAGAACTGCTTTTTTAGATGGTAAATCAATCTTGTATTTTGGGGGTAAGTTTTACTTGCTCATGGTACACAATCTTTTTCATATTTTGCTAGATTCAGTTTCCTAATTTTGTTGAGTATTTTTTGCAACTGTATTCATAAACAATAGTGGTTTGAAGTTTTCTTGTAATATTTTGTCTGGTTTTGGTATCTGGGTAATATTGACCTCATAAAAGGAATTTGGAAGTGTTCCTTCCTCTTTTATTTTTTTCAAGAGTTTGTAAAGAATTGTTACTATTTTTTAAATGTTTGATAGTGTTCTCTAGTGAGGCCAACTCAGCCTGGGATTATTCTTACTATTCAGATTTTTAATTTCTTCTTGAACCAGTTTAGTAGTTTGTGTCTCTCTAGGTATTTGTTCATTTTGTCTAAGTTACCTAATTTATTAGCAGAAAGTTGTATATATCTACTATAATCCTTTTTATTCCTATATGGTCAGTACTCATGTTCCCTCTTCATTCCGACCTTAATCTGTATGTTCTCTTTCTTCTTGATTAGTATAGCTAAAGCCTTATCAATATTATTGATCTTTTCAAAAGAAATGACTTTTGGCACCACTGATTTTATTTTCCTATTCTCTCATTTATGCATTCTAATCTTTATTCTTTTCTTCTTTCTGTTTGCTAATTTTCTTTTACTCTTTTTTCCTGGTTTCTTAAAGTGGAAGGTTAGGTTACTGATTTAAGACATTTCTTCTTTTTCAATATATGGATTTACAGGAAGAAATTTTCTTTGTACTGCTTTTGTTACATCCCGTAAGTTTTGGTATACTGTTTTCCTTTTCATTCATCTTAAAGTTTTGGTATGCTGTGTCTTCATTTTCATTAATTTTAAATAATTTTCTAATTTCTTTTATGTAGTCTTCTTTGATCCACTGGTTATTTAAGCAGTGCGTTGTTTCTATTTATTTGTGAATTCCTACATTTCCTTCTGTTATTATTAATTTTATTCTGGTCAGAGAACATAATTTATATAATTTCACTTTTTATATTCTTGAAGGTTATTACGTGGCCTACCACATATTCTAAGCTGGAGAATGTTCTATATGTGCACTTGAGAAGAATACATATTCTACTGTTCTTAGCTTGTGTTCTATAGATATCTGTTAGGTCTATTGGTTTTTGGTTTCGTTTATAGTCTTATTCATGAATTTTATTTCCTTGTTGATCTCCTTCCTGGCTGTTTTTTCTATTACCGAAAGTGGGGTAATGAAGTCTCCAAATGCTACTGCTGAATTGTTTATTTTCCTTACAATTTCCTTACAATTTTTATTCCATATATTTTAGGGCTTTGTGCTGCTAGGTGTATATATGTTTATAATTGTATGTCTTTCTGTGGGACTGATCCTTTTATGAAATAAGATGTTCTTTTTCGTCTGTTGTAACAATTTTTTTATTAAAGTCTATGACCTCTGATATTTATATAGCCACTCCAGGTTTCTTATGGTTGTTATTTGTATGATGTATCTTGATCTTTCGTATTTCTTTTTCCACCCTTTTGTATCTTTAAATCTAATACGTATCTCATGTAGACAGTACAGAATTGTATCCAAAAAATGTGTTTTTTTGATTCAGTCTGAAAAATAAAATTTCTGCCTTTTGACAATATGATGAATCCATTCACATTTAATGTTATTATTGTTATACTTAGACTTATGCCTGTCATTTTACTTTTTCTTTTCTATCTATCTTGGAGCTTTTCCTCTATTTTTCCTTTACTGCTTTCTTTTACATTAAGTGAGTATTTTCTAAACATTTTAACTCTTAATGATTTTTTTCACTATGAATTTTTGAGTTAATTTCCTACTGGTTGCTCTAAGGCTTACCATATACATTTTAACTTCTTAGAATTACTTCAGATTTATACTTAGTTCCAGTGAGATTTTAAATGTTACCCCTATATAACTCTATTCTCTCTTCTTTCTTGTTATGCTATTTATATATATATATATATATATTACATCTCTATATATTACAGACCCAACAATAATTATTCCTGTATATAATTTGTTTTTTAAAGAAGCTGAGAGGAGAAAGGAGAGCACGTGTATAATCACAAAGTTTGTTATATTAACCTGCTTTATTTTCATTTCTAGTTCTCTTCATTTGTTCCTATGGGGTAACAGGGGACAAAATGGGAAGTATTTGAGGAAAGCTTTTCCATAACTAAGTAAATATGAAAGATAAAAGATTGAAATTGAGAGGATTAATAGAACAGCAAAAAGGCAAGAAACAGAAAAATAGACTTCAAATCTTTGGAAATTTAAGTAATTAAAACAACCTAAGTACTCTAAATAATGGATTAATGATAAAATGATTGTAAACATGCATACTTACTTGCATAGAAATATCCTCCTATATGAAAAAGTGTATTACAAAATTGTATGATACCATTTAGCATACTATGTCATTTGGTGCAGAGAGAAAGAGAGGGCAGAGGACTATAAGGAGGGGATGAAGGGAAGAAGAAGGGGGAGAGAGGAAGTAGGATGAGAAGAAGGTGTGAAAGGACATATACCAAAATGTTAACTCTGGGTCATGCAATTATAAATGAATTTTATATTAAGGCTTCTGAATGTTTGTATTTTATAATTTTTAATATTTAATGTGTATTTGTGATACAACAATAAACTTATACAAATTAATCCAGCAGAAATGAGCAAAAGATATGAAAAGGCAAGTCATCTAAGATGAAATAAAAATGGCCAAAAATATATGAAAAAAAATTCAGTCTCACTAGCAATCAAAGAAATGCAAAATAAGATAATACTAAATTTTTATTTATCAAGTTTGAAAATATTTTATTGATATTGATATAAATATTGATAAAAATATTAATTTATCAAGAGGAAGACACCTAGTATTAAGGGTTATAGGAAATATGCTCAATACTTTGTTAATAAAGTATAAAATGGTAGTTTTTCTGAAAAGCAGTTTAATAATTTTTATAAATGCCCTTAAAAATGTCTATCTCCTTTAACCTTAGCAGGTCCTTTTTGGGAGAGTTTAAGGGAAAAAACAGTGGGTGTGACAAGTATTCAGCTAAAGCTAGAGGATATTTAGTAGAGCATTCTATGAAAATTTTGGAGTGTATAGTAACTAGGATTTAATCCTATGGAATTAATCTTAATGTCCAAAGAGTATGTAAACGTTTATATGAAAAAAACTATATAACACATACTAACTCTTAATAGTCTTTTTCTGAGTGTTAGAATTATTAGCATTAAAATTTGTTTTCTTCTGCTTTATCCATGTTATCCATAATGAACAACAAATTACTATTTTTGAAATGGACAACAAAGTTATTTAAAATAATATAATAAGCTGCCCGAAATAGCTTAGTTTTATTTCTGTTTTAATGATTTCAAAACCGTACATCCAACATTTAGATAACATCTTGAACTACCATGTAGACAGCTGAGTCAATGACACCCGCGAGCAGCATCAGGGACGGCTGCCTCTCTCTCCCTCGGTACTAAGCACAAGCTATGTGCAGGGCACTGTGTCACACAAGCTAGGAAGAAAAACAGAGGGACACAGATGTTTGTAGCCCTCTCTTTTTCTTCCAAGCTTGTGTAACACAATGTTATAGATGTGTAAACTCACAGCTACAAATCAGGTATGCCAAGGGAAGAGATGATTCTAACTGGGGGAATGAGGGCATGTTCTCATATATCAGTCATCCACAATTTGCTCTTCTTTCCTCTCCAATTTACTACCGAACCAGGAAGATCAGGAAACAACTAAAATTCACAGTATGTAGTCCTATATTCCACTTAAATGCTTACCAGTCCTACTTACCCTTCAGGGCCAGCTCACATCACCTCACCTTTGTTTCTGGGGGTAAGGGCTCCTGATATGCTGTGCCTATGGATTCAGTCTGAGAGGGCAAAGACTATGTCTGTTCCAACTTGGCAAAGGAAACTTGGAAGTCATACCTGGTAGGGTTCCTTTTGTCTTCCTCAGAGATCAAAAACCAAACAAAATCGGCATAGCTCATTCTTCCCTCTTTCTGTACTGTTTTTCCCCTGAAGAAAACATATGGTTATAACATTTTCTGAGCAGTTACTTAGGTAAATTTAGTAGGATGACAGACTAAGAGATAAAGTAACATCTTTCTTTGGAAATTAAGTTAAAAAAATTACAATGCTAGAAACCTCACAAAAGGCAACCCCTTTCCATTGCCCATCTTGTTTTCAAAGGCCTAGAGGCTGAAACCAGAAAGCATTTGCAGATATGAAGAAACAAATCTGCTTTCTAATATAAATGCAAATAATCACCAGGTGAAGTACTGTTACCTGTATTTAGATAAAGGACTAATGCCCATATATAAAAGAATTACTACTGTCTTATATGAAGCCATTACTCCATGTTTTGTAGAGTATTATTATCTGACCTACAGCATGGCCAAATTATTCAGGAAGCCTTGCTAAAATGAGATTGTTACAGTACTGTAGTTCATTTTTAAACTCAGATGCTTTTTCTTACCTTGTTACTGCCCCAGAGAATATCCTTTCAATAATCCTGTTTGATGAAGCTAAATGTAAATAAAAAGTATAAAGCTAGTTAAAACATGCTCTCAAAGGGAATACTTTAGGCAATTTATTTTTACAGCTTCAAGCTAAAACTTAATAATCTTCATGATGTGTATATGAGTAGTAACTTTTTACTTATGTATAATTTATATTTTTTGAAAGTAAGAATTTGAGATGGCTTAATCAATCAATCAATCATTACAAAAGAACAGGCAAACGGATGTGCCTGACAGCTGTGGTGTATTAATATAGTTAAGCACCAAGTTGGTTCTGAATATACTGACAACTAAGACAAAAATGTGCAAAATTTGTATTGATCTTGTTATTCAATAAGACAACTTTTCCTCTAAAACCAGACAAATTTTTTCCTAGCATTAAATTCAAAGGGGAACTGACTGTTGGCTCCTAATATAAGGGATCTGAGTAAAACGATGGAGAATGCTTTCACGTAGAAATTTATAAAAGATGCTGAAATATACCACAGATAATTTTCCTACATTCTCATCCTATAGAAGTCCAGGATATTATACGATACATTGTACAATTTGTTAGAAATTCCAGCAGTAGGTTTTACTCAGAGAGAGACAATAATATCTTAAGACAGTATATTCCTTTTGATGATAGATCCTAGAGAATCTGTATCAGTGTACATCGCTGTGAGTTCAAAGTAACCAAAAGCATGAGTTTTAAAAAAGGAGATGCTAATGGATCTTGGACCCAGAGATGTGGTGAGGACAGGAATCTGTTCTTTCAGCCAGTGCCCCAGGCAAAGGCGTGCACACTAAAATTTCAGAACCAGTGATGAGGTCACTAGAGAGTTAGCAGCTGTCAGCATCTAACTCTTCTGCACAGAGTCAGGCATAGTCAACATAAAGGTAAATTAGTTTGGTTGAAGAATGTTGAGCATATGTGTGTCAGCACAGCCAAAGGTTATGTACCAAAGGTTATATAAGGACCCTCTAGACTTTGTTGAACACTGGCTTATGGGGTTAATAATTTGTGCCAGATAGAAAAAAAGGGGGTTATATATATCAAAGGCAAGGATATTCAATTCTGAAGCTAAAGTCTTTTTGAAACACTTTTATTTTTTTAAAAATTTGGAAGGTTTAACCTCCTAGAACTGAAGCTTCTGTTGTCCCATTAAAGACAGGTTGGTGGGAGGGCAGTTATGCAGAGTTTCAGCGGCCCTTTCACTATGCAGGCCTAGATGCCAGCTGTGCTAGACTTCATGCCTTTAACATGCCTCTAATGAGTTGCTACGTGTGTATACACAGTATTTTGGGACTTAATCAGAACTGTGGTTATGCCAGCCAGAGAAGGTGCCTTAGAGACCACAGGGTTCTGCATGACCTTTAGAGGCTAGCTCATGTTGTACAGATGATCTGACCACTGGTAACCAGGAGGTGCATAGCTAGTAAAGATGACCTGATACCCCTATGAATATGTCCATTTTTATGCTATTCCGACAACAGGAAGGTTATGACTATAGGCATACCTCAGAGGTATTGTGGGTTCAGCTCCAGACAACCTCAATAAAGTGCGTATCACAATAAAGCGAGTTACATGAATTTTTTGGTTTCCCAGTACATACAAGTTATGTTTATACTATTCTGTAGCCTATAAGTGTGCAATAGCATTATGTCTAAAAAAACTAGGTACATACCTTAATTAAAAATACTTTATTGCTAAAAAATGCTAACCATCATCTGAACCTTTAGCAAACTGTAATCTTTTTGCTGGTGGAGGCTCTTGCCTCAATGTTGATGACAGTTGATTAAGCAGGGTGGTGCTTGCTGAAGGCTGAGGTGGCTGTGGCAATTTTAAAAAATAAGACAACAATGAAGTTTGCTGAATGGATCAATTCTTTCCTTCACAAATGATTTCTCTGTAACATGCAATGCTGTTTGATAGCATTTTACCCACAGTAGAACTTCTTTCAAAATTGGAGAAAATCCTCTCAAACTCTGCTGCTGCTTTGTCAACTAAGTTTGTGTCATATTCTAAATCCTTTGTTGTCATTTCTACAATCTTCACAGCATCTTCACCAGGAGTAGATTCCATCACAAGAAACTATTCTCTTTGCTCATCCATAAGCTGCAACTCCTCATCTATTAAAGTTTTATCATAGGATTTCAGCAAGTCAGTCACATCTTCAGGCTGTACTTTTAACTGTCTTGCTATTTCCAACACATCTGCAGTTACTTCCTCCACTGAGGTCTTGAACCCCTCAAAGTCACCCATCAGGGCTGGAATCAACTTTTTCCAAACTCCTGTTCATGGTGATATTTTGACCTCTTCCCATGAATCACATGTTCTTAATGGCATCTAGGATGATGATCCTTTCCGGTAGGTTATCAATTGACTTTGCCCAGATCCATCACAGGAATCGTTATCTATGGTAGCTATAGCTCTATGGAATGTATTTCTTAAATAAGACTTGAAAGTTGAAATTACTCCATGGGCTGCAGAATGGATGCTGTGTTAGCAGGCATGCAAAGAACAGTAATCTCACTGTACATCTCCATTAGAGACCTTGGGTGACCAGGCACATTGTTAATGAGCAGTAATATTTTGAAAGGAATCTTTTTTTTCCTAAGCAGTGGGTCTCAATAGTGGGCTTAAAATATACAGAAAACCAAGTTGTAAACAGATGTGCTGTTATCCAGGCTTTGTTGTTCTATTTATAAAGCACAGGTAGAAAAGATTTAGCATAATTCTTAAGAGCCCTAGGACTCTCAGAAAGGTAAGTGAACATTGGCTTCAACTTAAAGTCACCAGCTGCATTAGCCCCTCACAAGAGAGTCAGCCTGTCGTTTGAGGTGTTGAATCCAGGCATTGACTTCTCTCTAGCTATGAAAGTCCTAGACGGCATCTTCTTCCAATATAGGGCTGTTCTGTCTACACTGAAAATCTGTTGTTTAGCGTAGCCACCTTTATTAACTGTCTTAGCTAGATCTGGATAACTTGCTGCTTTGCCCTGTACTTTTATATTATAGAAATGGCTTCTTTCCTTAAACCTTATGAACCAACTTCTGCTAGTTTCCAACTTCCCTTCTGTAGCTTCTTTATCTCTCTTAGCCTTCATGGAATTGAAGAGAGACAGGGCCTTGTTCTGCATGAAGACTTAGCTTAAGAGAATGTTGTGACTTGTTTGATCTTCTATCCAGATCACTAAAACTTTCTCCATATCAGCAAACAAGGCTATTTCACTTTTTTTTTTATCATTCGTGTGTTCACTGGACTAGCACTTTTAATTTCCTTCGAGAACTTTTCTTTGCATTCATTCACAACTTGGCCAACTGTTTGGCACAAGAGGCCTACTTTTCCACCTATCTTGGCTTTCAACTTGTCTTCCTCACTAAGCTTAATCATTTCTATCTTTTGATTTAAAGTGAGAGTCGTGTGACTCTTCCTTTCACTTGAACACTTAGAGGCCACTATAAGGCTATTCATTGACTTAATTTCAATATTGCTGTGTCTCAGAGAACAGAGAGGACTGGGAGAGGGAGCGAGACAGGGAAATATCTGGTTGGAGGAGCAGTCAGAAGGTACACAACATTTATTGATTAAGTTGGCTATCATATAGGAGCAGTTCACGGCACCCCAAAACAATTACAAAAGTAACATCAAAGATCACTGACCACAGATCACCATAACAAATATAATAATAATGAAAAAGTTTGAAATATTGTGCGAATTACCAAAATGTGACACAGAGACCCTAAGTGAACAAATGCTGTTGGAAAAATGGCACCAACAGATTTGTTCAACGTAGGACCTTCAATTTGTAAAAAATATTGCAAAGCACAATAAAGCAAAGTGAAACAAAATGAGGTATGCCTGTACTTGAACCAGTGAAGATACAGTACTAAAATAATTGTTTAACAAATAAGTACAATTTAGTATTTTCTTCGTGATGTCTGGTTGGTACCTGAGTTTTGGGAGGCAGGACTCTTTCTTAAATATGGTAAGTTCTATAAAACTTGACATCATATAGAATGAAACTTTCCTTAAGATGTATACTATTTTTTTTAATGTATACTGTTAGTCACAGATATACCAAATAACAGAAGCAAAATTCAGTGCATTTATTTGAGATTTGTACTTTGCTACATCTAGAAGGCTAATGGCTTATTTTAAAAAATCCACAGTGTCTGAGAAGACATTTAAGAATAGAACAGGGACAATCTTATGAGAGAAGAATTATCAGTGTGTCTTGGTGCTTGGTTAAGAACATTAAATCAGTAGGTAACAGGTTCTAGGTTTACTACTATTGCTCAAAATGAAGCAAAAAGCGTAATATCATGTGATATGTAATTTTTTGTTTTTTGACAAAAGAAAGCACACAAAATTCATCTGCAGAAAAAAATCTTTTCTAGAAATAAATTCCAAAATGTAAGTTTTTCTGAGTCCTTGAAAACACTGGCAAGTTAGAAACATTATTTTCATCCTTGACTGTTTATAAATATAAAATGAGAATTTAAAACGGTGTATATATGTTCTCTTCCAGGTAAAATTTACACAGATGTGATTTTTAGTAGTTCATCATCAGAAAATAAGCATCACTATAAAGACTCACCAACTGATCAAAACTAAGACTGATTTCTTACTGATCTCCAAAGCCCTTCTCCTACACCCGGTTTCTAAATAAAAATTAATCTTTTCACCATTTCCACTTAACATTTCTTGGCCCTGTAAATAGGACTTGATTACATACAGATTTTAAGATAAGGGAATTCCCCATAATGAGCGAGCATGATTTAACTCTTGCCTTCTTCAAAACAGTTAAGTCTCAACTATTGCAGAAACACTTACCCTGGTCATTGTATCGAGATAGATCGGCTTGGCTGATGTAGAGGTCATGGTCACTATCTAGTTCCCAAAATTTACAATAAATAACATAGAAATGTTCATAGGAGAAGTAATCTGTGATTTGGTTTATATCTTCCTCTTCTTCCAAAAGGGCTAGAGTCTGAAATGGTATGAATAGAAGGATTAATTTATTTTAAAATTATGAAAACTCAGGTTTGGCCATTGCATAGATTCTAGTAAATTTTTATTTTAAATTGAATAAAAAATTTTGGTTTTGGTACCAAAGTGGGGACTTTTAGTAGGCAACCTCATCCTACCTTTAATCAGTTGATCAATTTACGAGCTGTGTAATATGCTTAGCAAAGGGTGAGATGCTATGGAGGATTTAAAAGCAGGGAAACGGAAGGACCGTCACCAAGGGGCCTGCAGCCTATCAGAGGTCCCCAGACTAGTAAGCACAGAACAATCAGACAACAGACTTACTTATTACATGGCTATAAACTGACACTGCTTTTAACTTTTCAAAGTTATGAAGAATGGCCATCTATCTATTCTATTATGAAGAGTGGGCATCCACATACAGGGTTGGTTTTGCAATGGAATCAAGTTTACCATAAAGGTGACTTATGTATACCACTGTGATGATGCGGGGAAGTGGTGGGGAAGAATGGCTGGAATAGAAGGCACGTGGGGAAGAGCTGCAGGGCCCTGGGATGGAAATAAACCTACGTCTCTTCTGACTCACTTATGCCCCCAGGGAAAACACCAGAAAGAATGATTTTGGGCCCAGAATTCTTATAGCCAGCCAAATTATGATATAAGTGGGCAGATAAATGAAGATCTTTTCAGAAATGAAAGATTCAGAAAAAAAGATAAAAGAAACCATAAGGAAACTTAGGAAATAGAAAAAACAAAGTGAGATGGCAAAAACAAGATCAGATACACCAACAATCAAAATAAAGGTGAATGAGCTAAATCTCCCATTAAAAGATCTTCAGATTGAGAATAAAAACCAAACTCAAAGGGCAGATCTAGGCATAGGGTGTCTGTAAGAGGTAAGTCTGAAATAAAATTTAAAAGGAGAGTTAAAACGTACTCTAGCTAAATCTTAACAAAAAGAAAACGTATGTCAATATCATTAGAAAATAAAATGGAATTCAAGGTGAAAAACATAAGAAACAAAGGTGACTTATTTCATAATGCAAATGTATCACTCTGATAAAAATTATTTTCTAAAATGTAAATACTGGAAATCTAAAATGCTTTGGGGCAAATCAAAAACAACATAAATTATTAAATTATGGTAAAATCCACTTAATGAAAGATTATGAAGCCACTAAACATTATAGAGTCTACATAGAAAAAATGGAAAACCATATAGTGGGTGCAGAATATACGATATAAGATTGTACACATTAAGAATTATGTCAAATCTTAAAATCCAGATGTGCATCTGAATGAGACTAGAGAATACATACAAAAACATTAGTTGTATTAGGATGGTAAAAATGTTTTTTCCTCTGTTTTCCAAACTTTCTTGTAACGTTTTGTTTTATAAAATGCTCTTTAATGTGTATAAAGCAGAATATGCACAATAAAAAAATCTTGAGAAGCAAGGAGCTCTCATTTTCACCTACTGGACCGTCATAAAATGAAGAAAAAAGTGTAACTTCTGCTGTTGGTGAGTATGTAAGTGTGAACAAGCATAGGCGTTTAGGAGGGTAACTTGGCAGGATCTGTCACACTGAAAATGCATATACCATCTGATCCAGGATTTTCCCTCCAGTAGGCTATTTTAGAGAAATTCTTACTCATTTACAGACAAGAGGAAGGTACAAGGATGTTCACTGCATTATTGTAATGGGGAGAATATAAAAACGACTCGACCATCTTCAACAGAGGAATATGTAATTACAGTACAGCCATGCCATAGAGTGTGCAGCAGTTAAAAGAATGAGATAGATTTATATGAATGGAAATGAAAAGGATGTCAAGACATACTGTTAAGTTAAAAAAAGTTAACAGAACAATAAGTATGGTTTCACATATTTAAAAAAACCAACAAAACAGTCGTTCAGAACAAAACTATATACTCCATAAATACACAGATAAGGGAATAAAACCACAGATGATATGGGTTCCCTCTGGGAAAGGGAGTGAAATGGCCAAGTGAAGACATAAACAGTGACCTCTGCTTACTAGTCTATACATGTTTATTTTATCTGAATGTCCCATGAGCATATATTCACGTATAAGAGGAAGACTAAGGAGAGAGGTAGGGAAGAAGACAGAGGGAAGCAGAACACTTGAGTTCTATTTCCACTTCAGCCATTTACTTGCTCTGTGATCTTACCCAAGTCACTCAGCCATATTTGGGCCTCAAACTCTATCATTAGTCAAAAAAAAAAAAGGATTATAATACTGATCTAGAAACTACAGACTCTAATGTGCTTCAGGAATGTCAGGGATTATTATCATTCTCTAAGGTTTAAGGCCTTTCCAATGGGATTATTGCCATCTCAAGCCATCCCACATTACCTCCTGAGAGTCTAGGCAGACACCACGTGTTCAATAAGTATTGATAATGACTTTGATGATGACTTGTCATTTATTAGAATAAAAAATGTTTGCATATCTATTATGGGTTGCTAATTTTGCCAAGGCTTCATTACTTTGTCCCAGATGAAGATAGAAAAAAAATTAGAGAATAAATAAGGTTGTATTGCTCGCCTAAGCTTCATTTAGTATGATTCATTTAAAATAAAATATTTCATTTCCTTTTAAGGAAATGTGACCAATTCTACTTTCTTTAGGTTGACAGAAAAGCTTGAACAATCAGGCATGAAGATTGCCTCGGTGAAAGGCTCCCACTAGTGGTCAATACTTTATTTGGTAAAATAAAATAATTGAATGAAATGTATACTTTTCTTAGGAATTTTTAGTAATTTTCTCCAGCAGGAGCTGGATAAAGAGTCATTGCTGAAAGGATCAAGCAGAAATTCCTCTATTTCTTTTTCAAGGCCCTTCCCAGCCCGGCCCTGTCACACCCTCAGGCCTCATCACTGACGGCTCTCTCCGTGGAGACTGGCCGCTCGAGACTGCTCTGCAGTTCCTCAACACGCCACTTCCATGCTTCTGGGCCTTTGCTTATGCTGCTTCCTCTCTGTCTGGAATGCCCCTTTCCTCTATTTTTTTCTTCTTTGGTAAACTCCTGATATCTCCAAGGTCAAGATCACATGCCAGTCCTATTGTGAAACCTTTATTGCATGTTTACGACACATTTCTGTGAAATTTTTCAAGTCATGTGTGGCTGTGTGTGCACTTTTCTCTTGCTCTATGGCGTGCCCTGATGCAAAAATCTCCTGTTATTCACCTTTGTTCCCCCAACACATCCCAGGTATCTGATAATCACTTAATGACGGAAAGTAGTGACAGGGCTTTGCACATAATAAGCACTCAGATATTTGTTAAATGAAGAATATTATCTAGATTGCTCCTTATACATGAATTTCAATGAAGCATACTTGCAAAAAGTTGCTTTTTCTTATCTCTGTTGAAGTAATTTTTCCACTCCAAGATCTGTTGACTGTGTAGAATATTCTCTGAATAACCTGGTTCCAAAAGGAAAACAAAACCAAGTAAGAACATTAACGGTATCTATGACTTTATCAAAGGCCATCTTATGAATATTCTTTGAACCAAGCTAAGTTTTGCCTTTTTGATTATATCAAGTGTCATTTCTAGTAAAAATTAATACTCTAGTTTAAAAATCTACATCTGTGTAGTTTGCATCTCCCTTATAATTCTAAGAATAAAAAAATTCTTTGCTCACAAGTCTGCGTTTCCTGGATACCTAGATGTCACTTCCTTTCATATCTCTCATCTTACACAATGATGACTGATTTGAGTATTGCTTATTAGGCTAGATGTTTTGGGAAGGGAAATGAGGTGGGAAATATGTGCTGTGTTGGCTTAACAATTAATGGGTCAGAAGAACAGCTGCCAATGTGGTATGATTCAAGAGGGCATTATTCTGGTTATTATAGCCTTATCCATTGGAGTTTTGAGGACTTCCAGACTCTCTCTGGAAACTCAGGTACACCTGGAATAATTCATATCCTGAGGCCTTATTTGAGCATGCACAATTTTGTTATTAACTAGTGTTTTAATGAATTTATTAACAAATGTGAAATTCTGGAGAAGACTCTAGACAAGATGGGAGAGGAGGGGACGGGTAGCAAATGTGTCTGAAATTGAGGATGCGTGTGCTGTGGTGTAGTGGGGACTGGAGAAGGAAGACAGAAGCCGCAATCCTGGAGGTAGAAGGCCACTGTACAGTCTTAACAATTTCACCTGAGGTTATTCCCACCCATTTAAGTTCCCCTTTACCTGCTGGTTTTTTTTTTCTTCTTCTCCAAGAGGAAGCAGTGGTGAGAAGAGCAATTTAAGCAGCTTTTTTTGTACTTTGGCTAGGATTTTGATTATCTAATAATATAGAAATCTTACAGCCTTGGTGGTTTTATCATAGAAAAGTTTAGATTTCTTTTTAAGGCTATTTTAGTGCAAGAAGAACAAAAAAGGGAAGACACGTGGACGTCTATACAAAGAGTAGGACTAATGAATAACTAAATTACTATTCTGTTTCTGGATTCTTTGGCAAAGGCAGTGAGTCTCAAAAATAACAGGAAAAATCTAGCCTCAGGATGAAGGTCCTGACATCTGCTGCCTGGCATCCCTCACCCCATCTCTGCTATCAGCGCTAACTCCTTCTGACCCTTCAGAATCTAGCTCAGCTGCCAACTCCATAAGAAGCCCCCAAGCAGGGACTTGGGTAAAGCTGTCTTCTGTGCTTCTGATGTCCGCTGAGTCCCCTTCAGTCATCCTGTGGTTATATTCTAAACAGTTACACTTGTCTGTCATCACCTCCAAACTCTAAGGAACCTGGTCTTTCTTCACTTGCATCCCAGTGCGTGATATGCTGTTCTGCATATATAAGGTGGTCAATTGCTTGATAATTTTAAAAAAATGGAGGTATAATTAATGTATATCATATTTGTTTCAGGTATACAACATGATTGATGATTTGGTAATTTGTATATACTGTGAAATGATCACCACAGTAAGTCTAGTTAACATCCATTACCACAGTTACAGAATTTCTTTTCTTGTGGCAAGGACTTTAAAGATTTACTCTCTTAATATCTTCCAAATATGCAGTATAGTATAAACTACAGTCACCACGGTGTACATTACATCCCCATGATTTATTTTATAACTGGAAACTTATACCTCTTGATTCCCCTTCACCTATTTCACCCACTGCCTCTGGCCACCCCAATCTGTGCTCTGTATTTATGAGCTTGTTATTTTTGTTCATCGATTTAGATCATACAGTGTTTGTCTTTCTCTGTCTGACTTGTTTCACATAGCATAATGCCCTCAAGGTCCATGCACGGTGTTGCAAATGGCAAGATATCCCTCTTTTTTTTATGGCTGATAATATTCCACTGTACATATTCCACATCTTCTTTATCAGTTCATCTGAACACAGAGGTTGTTTCCATATATTGGCTATTGTAAATAATGCTGCAGTGAACACAGGGGTGCACGTATCTTTTCAAGTTAGTATTTCCGTCTCCTTTGGATAAATACCCCGAAGTGGAATTGGCGGATCATATAGTGGTTCTATATTTCATTTTTCTGAGGAATCTCCATACTGTTTTCCATTGGCTGCACTAATCTGCATTCCTACCAACAGTGCCCATGAGTTCCCTTTTCTCCGCATCTTTATTTCTTGTTTTTCTGATGACAGCCATTTTAACAAGTGTGAGGTAATACCTCACTATAGTTTCGATTTGCATTTCCCTGATGATTAGTAATGTTGAACATCTTTTCATGTACCTGCTGGCCATCTGTATGTCTTTTTTGGAAAATTGCTTGATAAATTAACGAGGTTGGAAAGCTATGTAACAAAGACTTAGATGTTATATTTGTGATAGAGACAAATGGGTTGGCTTAATAGCTAATTGAATAATTCTATTCAGAGTTTTGAACAGCAGATTGATGCCAACCCAGAAAAGTTCTCTAATCAGTATTTTACATAAATCAGTATTGTTGTCTATGACTTATAGAAAGACTGCATATAAAAATGTACAGAAAACATAAAACAGGGAAGGATAACTGTCTACAAAATTACTGTGAAAGATACCAGTAATGTGTTTACTCTCGAGGAAAAAATAAGACTAGAGTGTAGCTGTGACCATGATCTGAATGACTATCAGGTGGAAGAAGCTGATTTGTTTTGTGCTGCACCCCAGGGTAGAACTACAACTACTGGATAGAAGTGCCTTTATACTAAAATGTTTCAATATAAGAAAGAGTTTCCTAAAATTAGCCCTATGAAGCAATGGGTTGTAATGAAGTAGTGAGGTTTCTTCTTACCACAGTTATTTCGGCAGAAGTTGACAGGATTCCTGTGTTAGGTGGGAGCTAGGACTAGCTGGTGTCTATAATTTCTCTACTGGCCCCAACTACTCAGACTCTGCATAAAGTGCTTCAAGGCAGAGAATGTGTCTTATTCAACACTGTAATCTTAGCATTAGCTTCACAGAAGTTCATATTAAAAAGATGGATGGTTTTTAGCAGAGAAATATATATATATGAAAATAAACATTAAGAGTATCTTTTATCATAGTTCCATGTCTTCTTTCTCAAGTTAAAATCAATTTCACACATGTTATTATACCAAAATTTTCTTTGCTGCATATTATTTGATTTTTGTCCTTATTTCTTGATTTTAAACATAAATTTATCTTAAAGTCTGTTTCCTATTTACCTAAATTTTATACTTATATACTCTTCAATTATTTTACATTTTTCATGGAAGTACTGTGTTGCACTTAAAATTATAAAACTTTAATCTGTATTTCTTTTTGCTTATTTTATTCTTCATTTTTTTGTTCTTTTTGACAGAATTTTTAAAATTTGCAAACATTCTGAATGTTAAGTAATTTCCTATTTTTAGCCTCTGCTAACCTACTTGTCTCATACTATAAAAAATGTACCTGTATTCCATCCGTAGCCTAAATCTCCTTATTCAATGGCCCCACTACATCAGCACATTTATTGGTTTCCACACTACTGATTCAGCATTTTCGTTCACTGACGTAGGGGCACCATCTAGTGGTGAGAGTATGTAGCTACCGGTTTTACATTACAGTTTTCCCCCCTTTTGGTCTACCACTTTTAGGTAAACAAAAAATAAATTAATAAAAAAAAATAAAAAACATCAAACAAAACATAAAAATTAATAATGGTAAGAGTAATTATTTACTTCCAGTAATAGAAACGAAATTTGATGGTTTTTCATCAAGGGATCCCTAGTCAACTCGATAGACAATCTGAATTATAAGTCAGTTTCCTTTCTTTTTCTTTTTATCTTTTGAATTGGAAACCTCTAATTCACAATTATAGGTCACCAGGAGTGGAAGTACATGTTTGGTGGCTCTGTCGGGGAGATTTTGACAAGTGGATCAGACGCAGACACAGAAATTACAGAGAGACTGCTCTCTGTGGTGACTTGAATGCAGATGCACACACTCGATGCGGGAAGCCTGGCTCTTCTACTAGGCAGGGCGTGGTGAATGGGTTCCTGACCCACTCTGGCTAATATGGCTCTGAAAGGTATTTCTTGATTGTCTCCTGCAGAACTTGGACTTGAAAAAAAATGTATACTAAAAACGATTGCTTTCTCTGTCAAGAGGAAAAGTTCTCAAGGGGAAAGAGTTAAGCTGTTCGTGATGAGCGTCTCCACCACAGTTCAGTCATTTTAGGAAGTATCAGTGCCTTGTCCTCAATAATTAAAGTCCTGACATTTTAGCCTGACGTGCTAGATTCAGGCCAATCAAAATACTAAATATCAATAAGACACCACCCGAACAAGCCACAGAAATAGCTTTACTGAAGCACCAATGTCACAAAAGTCTTTTCAGTCTTATCATTTATTTTAAAACCTCATGTGAACAGCTCTTTCCTCAAAAGCCAGCGTATGCCAGTAAGGATAAGCAGTCTCATTCACTGGCAATTCCTTTGCATGGAATGCAAAACTGCAACCTCAGGGGCTACAATTAACTGGTTTTTCCAATTTTCATTTTCATTTACTGTCAAGAGGCTTATTTCTCAATTGCCAACTCTTCTGTGGAAATAAAAGAGAACACAGACTGACTTTAGGTACAATCTCTCATTGAGGTAGTAATGTCCTTTTTTGCTATATGCATGGTTGGTGTTCTGTCTTTCCTGTCTAAAAATAACTGACAAAAATAATTAACTAAACAAAAAGTCTTTTCCTGTAGCATAGGTTTTCAGTGAAAATAAAAGTTGCCCAAATTTCTTCATCATACATGTGCTACACACATAAACTAATAGTTGAGTTGTACTCAGTGTCAACAGTTTTTTTCAACTGTAAAGTGGAAAAACTAACTCCAGTATGTAAACAAAATACATTGTTTTATACTGTATGCCACTGAGATTATATAACATTCAATAGGGTCATATGATAAATTTTAATTTTGCTTTTTCTGAGATACTTGTCATTAATTCTGAGGCCAATCTTCATAAGTTTCTCGGAAAAAGTGTGATCTTATCTGTCTTTGCCATAAAAAAGTAGAGAATGACACCTCTCTAGTTTGGTCACTTTTATGCCTTTAACAACAAAATTAATTTCATATTAGAATCCTTATTTTGCATTCATTCTGGAAAATTTACTGTACTCTGAAATCAGGCAAAAGCTTCAATCACTTCATGCCATTATTTGACCAAATTTTGCAGTAAAAAAGGCACTGGGGAGAACAGATAACTAGTCCAATAAAATTCTGTTCCCAGATTTGCAGTGTGGTGCTTTATATTTGCACTCTTCCTTTTGGATGGTACTACAAGATTATCACGATAGCAGACAGACCGACTTAGCACATACAGATTCACATTCTGTATTCTCAACTCGATCTTACTTACTATTTATGTTATGATGCTGTTTTGAGTTGTCCCATTATCATTACTTTATCATAAATATTTTACACTTTAATGACTACTTCTGAGTAATGGATTCACTTTTGTGAACTGGGGATAAAGCAGCATAATACTAACAATGAAGTGTAAATTAAAAAAAATCTAAACAATAACATGCAAATGCCATGAATATATGTCAGCAGAGATAATTAACTGTATCCTGTTAATTGACCAATGCAGTTCTTTTTGTTCAATGATTAACGTAATAGAATTTCTCAGAAAATGTGAATTATATGCAAACAAAATTGTTTCACGGCTTTTCACTCTGAAATCACAGTACTTCATGGGGGCCACTTACTAGATGACCACAGACCAAAATAGGTCCAGGAACTATTCTTCAATAAATATCAAACCAGAAGGTGTAGAGAAAGAAAATTTATCTCTTTTATAATTCTGTTCTTTAACAGCTTTTCTAAGAATAAATTCTGATAAAAGGTTCCCCTGTAGACTGCATTTTCTGAATTGGTAGAAGATTGGATTAGCTTATCTCTAAGATCTTTTCCAATTGTTAAGATTCTAAATTATACTATTAATATGCCCTGAGTTTATAGAGCAGTCAACAATCAGAACCCAATAATTCCCTTTGGGATTGAATCCAGGTTAATGTGTAGAATTCTTAAGGATGAATAACTTCACTTTTACTCACTCAATAATGTTTGCTGTGTATCTATTATGTGCCAGACACTATTCTAGGTATTGAAGACATAGCAGTGAAAAATACAAAATGCCTGCTTCTCATGGAGTTTATGTTATAGAGGAGGAGATGGACAATAAAAAATTTTAAATATCAGATGATATAAAAGCCAAAAAGGAAAATAAATCAGAACAAAGGAACAGAAGTGTACAGGGAGGGGAGAGAGGGAGAAGAAGGGTGAGGAAGGCAGAGGGTGATCAGGGCAGGTCTCACTAAGAAGGGGATATCTGAGTACATATCTGGATGAAGTGAGGGAGTTAGTCACGTGGAGATCTGTGGGAAGAGCCTTCCAGGCAGAGGAAAGAGAAAGAACAAAGCACCTGAAGCAGAAGTGGGTTTGGTCTGTTGCTGAAGCAGAGTGAGCAAGGGGTCAGCCTGGTGGGAGATGAGAACACAGTAGAGGGTGTGAGGGGGCGTGTGTGTTGGGGAGGTGGGGGGTGGTTATGGAGATTTTTGGTAAGAATTTTGGCTTTTATTCTGAATGAGACAAGAAAACACCGGAGAGTTTGCTCAGAGGAATGCCATGTTCTGACTTACATTTTCAAAGGATAACTCTGCTTTGAGGAGACTAGGCTGCAGGGCAATGAGGGTGTAAGCCAAGAGACCAATTAGAAGTAATCCACCTAAGAAACCAGGGTGACTGACCAGGCCAGGGTGACTGAGGTGGAGGCAGTTTAGCATAGTGTTGTGGTTAACAGGCAAAAATGACTTCTGAGATAGCCTTAGACGACAGTGACATCTTCTGGCTCAAATAAAGTCTTACAAAGTTTTATGACAGAGGAGCATCAACATAAAGGCAAACAATGAAGTTCCTACAGGGGAAGAAGAATGGTAGTATTCTGTTCTCAACAGAACCCAACAAATCCATAGCCAACAAAAAGTACCCGAAGAATGAGAGAGGCTTCCTCAGAGGCAAGGCTCATCTCACCTGGGTATGGCTATGAATGTGAGGGGTGCCCTGAGGTTCACTTTGGAATTCTTCCAAAGATAATTCTTCAGGACAGAGAACGTGTGGTGTGGCTGTAGTGTGAGCTGCAGCCCCTGTGCCCTCACTCTAATTCATGCCCTGCCTATGGTGATCAAACGAGGTTGTGTGTAACAAACAGAGAATGAGAACACCTCACCAAGTCCGAGACTGTGATTATGTTATTTTAAAATCTTACTTGATAACACAATCCCACAATCAGTTTCTCATTATCATTTCCGTTCTAACTTTGAGGTACTATAGACATAGCCTCCTCCTCCTTCTTCTTTTTTTTTTTGTAAAAGGCTGCTGAAAATTCTTTTCAGTATTATTTGCAAATGCTAAAGATCAAGTGGGTATCAATATTAATGACATAGCAAAAGGTATACCTCATAAGACCAGACAGAATGAGCGTATCACTTACTTGTGTATACAAGAGACCTCTTAAGCACTGGGTACATATGAGAAGGAAAATAGATATAAATAATTAATTCAATTTTACTGTACCTCCCTTCCACTTAACATAATCATTATAGCCCAGGCTACATTCTGAAAGCCTGGATACTAGAGAGTGACAAAAAGGAGACTTTGACAGAGTTACATTAGGACAAAAAAGGGCTCAGCCTACCGTGGTGATGTAGCGGGAGTGGAATTCTGGAGCATCTTTCAGGAACGTGAGGCCAGGATGTGTATCCACCACATCCTAAAAAAGAACAAAACCAAAAACTACATTAATGCACATACAAAAACCCCCCAAAAAACCCAAGACACCTACAGAAATTTTCCCCTTCTGTAGAATAATTGCCAGTTGAGCAAACTCGCTAGAATATTGATCAATGTACTTAAAATTTAATTAATACGTTTTAAATTCAAATATTTCACAACCATACGTTATGTGTGCTTTCCAATATGTACAGAATATATCAATAAATTTACTTAAAAAGTAAATTTAATTTAGCTATATTTGGTGATTTGTGACTCAAATGTCTTAGAGGTATGTACTGTAATTCTAACTTTCATGTCAGTGAAATTCATCTCATAGATCTTGGTGGGGTTGCTAAGTGAAATTTACACAGAAACGATAATAGACACAAACCAACTGGAATGATTCTTTCTCAAGCTACAGACCTGGGAAATGTTTGGAAAAAAAAACCCAGCCATGTAGCCAAATAGTTTTAAATTTGTCTGTGTTAAGTTGTGTGAGCCAGTTAATGTTCATCAAAATAACTGTGTTGATAGATCTGTTTTCAGTTTAGGATTTTATTTATTTTAAAATCTGATATCTTATTCTCATGCAAGAGTATTAGAATATTAAAACCTTGAAATACTGTTTTTATTTTCTAATTAGGTTTTTAAAGTGCTCTGAATGAGCCTAGAGAACCTAACAGAGATAATTACTATTTTTTAACATTTTTATTGATTTATAATCACTTTACAATGTTGTGTCAAATTCCAGTGTTCAGCACAATTTTTCAGTCATTCATGGACATATACACACTCATTGTCACATTTTTTTCTCTGTGATTTATCATAACATTTTGTGTGTATTTCCCTGTGCTATA